CAATTTCTACTGCAAGACTTTATTCATTCGTAGAACTCATAAGTGATCATAACCGGTTTGTTTAGCCTCTACCAGACTTCGGGAGGCGGCTGGAAAGAATAGAAATCGAGCAAATAGAGAGATAACATGTCAGGGTAGTTACTCCGCGATGAGAGAACATTTTGCCGCACCCGGGTGTTTCTAGGTTTTGTTTGTTTCGCATCATTTTAGCGATGTATTTAAATGTCTTCGAAACTAACTTGAAATGACATTACCTTGTACAACAGTATTTTTTAATTACCAGATATATATAACGTAATCTACGGCAAACACTGTATGGGACACTGCACCAGAGCAAGATATACGAAAACGGCAACGGATGCAGAACTGGGCCGGGAAGCTGCTGCTGGGAGCCCCGCACAGAACGCCGTCGGCTGAAGTACGGACTCGACTGGGCTGGCCGAGGACATTAAATCCATACACAGAGACCAGAAATCCTTAAAAACGTACAAGAGCCTTTATAACTAAAAGAATCGAGATAATGTTTGAAGTTTGTATGAACTTGTATGCATTTATATTGTATAGAAAAAGTGTAAAAATATATTTTCAGGGTCAAAATTTACAGTGTCTACCACAATTGAAGAGGCAACTAACGATATGCCCAAAATTCTATGGGAAGTCGGCTGGAAATCTTTGTTCATCGATATGAGATTTTCGAGGCTCTTAGCGGAATTGTGAGCCTGGAATTGTAGCACTCCGGCCTTAGGGTGTCCGCCGGCTCAAGAAATCGTATAGAAACTGTAAATCCGGTCCAAAAGAACGAGTGTGCTTCGCAATGCATGGCGGTATAGCATCAGTTGTTTCGGCAGAACAATAGAAGTTCAACGGCGGCCATGTTTGTGCCGGTATAACAACATATAACATCACTGCATATCTACGACTGCAACCATTTAAATATATGTACATGTATAAATACAAATGTGTAATCATGCAGGTTCTATTAAGCATGTGTTGAAGCCACGAAGAAGCCGCTATAATCTCCAACTTGACACTGCATCCGGTGTTGTGTTATTGGCGGGGAAACCTGGCGTCCCCACCGCCGCAAATCTTTCGGCTCGTAAGTCTGTAAAATTCATCAAGATTGAAAAAAATTGCTACTGAGCACTAAGAGTAGCATACTCAGTAATTTTATCTTAGATTGAACATAACTTGTCTGAAAGTTGTGATGGACTGTTAGTTGGTCACTGTTACTTTTAAAATCGGATGTTAGTAAACAAATGAGGAACATGAACGCTGTGGCAAAAAGGAAATCAACGCCACATATAAGTTAAGTCAAAAGTGGAACAAAACTAAACAAAAGCAAACGTTATAACTGGAAACCAACGTAAAAATAAAAAAAACGGATTAAAAAAATTATTCGGCGAACGGTGTTACCTAGCACGGTCTTAACCTTGATCCTGACGATTTGAATCTGAAAATAAAAACAAGAAGTACAAGCTTTTGCCTTACACTACCTAAATTTGAAATAGAAATTAAAGCTGTCTGATTTCGTTATAATCACCAAAGTCGTATAGACTACTACACAACTGTTGTAGTAACACTCGGGTCTCGCGCCAACCTGATATACTATAATGCATGACGGGATAGCGTCATTTTGTTTATGGTCGCCATCTTTTCATTCACATGATATATGTAGTAGTAAGCGTCCCGGCCGGACGAGTATGAAAATAGCTGTTGATACATCATTGCATTGTAAACAGGTTGGGCCTGGGCACGTTGTGAGGACGCATGATTTGTGTTAACTGTTCAGGAGCCGGATATCAGCAAGACTAAACTTACCGTCTGTTATCGGTAAAAAAATTGTTATTCCAACGAGGCTATAACGTCCATGCAAAAAGGAAGTCGACGCTACAGAACAAAGTACAAGTCAGAAGACTAACAAAACTCGAAACACAAACGGTATAATTAAAATAACCCCTAGCCTTGCTGGAAATGTATATATTCAAGGAAAATATGAGTAAATGCAACACACAACATGTTCTTAACCTTGATCCACAGGGATTGAATCCGAAATACCATGGAGGTAGAAAAGAGACCTCCATGGAAATACCGAACTAAGATTTTTTTGCTACAGCGGTAACACTCAGATCTCCCGCCTAGCGGATATTATAATGCATGACGGGATAGCGTCGTTTTGTTCATGGCCGCCATATTTTTCTACCCCGGTACTAGTACTAGCGTCTTGAGTATGTATGAGAATAGCCGAAAAGTGAAATTTGTATAACGTGAGGTTGACACACATCATTATGTTTTAATTTGAGGACAAACATTTTGTGTTCGTTGTTGAGGAGCCGGTGTCTGCTATCGCTATGACAAGACTGTCCGTGTAAGACTTACTCACAATTACGAGTGTGTCTTCTTCGGGCTATTTTTTTACCGTAGTATAACAGGCTTTTTAGGTTCGTGTCTTCTACCGAGTTTCAAGACTACTAGTATCATTACAGCTCAAAAATGTCCATAGAAGACGCACTCGTGATTACGTCGATCACTCGACGTATTTAGATTTTTGCTTCAAGCCAGGGGCGTTGTTCGAACCCAATTTTGATTTCAAATCCAGTTCAATCGAAAATTGGTTGCACCCGTAGTACAACTGGTCAATTTCCCATGCGACAAATGTCGACTAAAATGGTCCAACTCCTGTTCGTGTAATATGTGAAATTCCCGTCTGTATATCGACCGTGAAGTTCCCGTACGGCGTTCGCGGACGGACATCAATAATGTTGTTTGTCAATGCTGGTGAATTTCCCGTACGCGAA